TAAATTAAATTAAATACAACAATATTTTGATATGAGATTAATAATATTTCTGCTTTTGCTATAACGGTTAACTGACTTGTATTTGACATAATATGTACACGCATATACAGGGCGCATCATCTATATGTGGTCAATGGAAATGTTATATAAACAATTTTTAATGAATTTTAATAAACTTTTTTCATTGTTAAATTTAAGGCCTCACAATTTTTTCCAGCTAGGTTCAGAGAACAATGTCGATCAAATGACCCTCTAAATTCTGCGAACAAAACTTCGCACTTTTTTCGGATTTTCCATAACATTTGCCAGCATCTCGGACGATATCACAGCGATTTCAAGTTGGAATGTTGTTCTTCAGTTCGTCAAAAGTCTTCGGTTTGTTGGCATACACTTTGCTTTTCAAAAAGCTCCACAAGAAAAAGTCTGGTGCAGTCGACTCGTGCGATCTTGATGGCGCAGCACGGCCGCTAAACTTTTTCCAATACGCACGTTGTGTTGCAACAACTGAATGATTGCACTCAATGTACATTGTAACTATTTCCGCACGTTCTTTGGGCGTAAAGCCCCACATGGCTGAAATTGCATTGAAACAACCTTACCAAAAAGCTTTTAATGCAGCTATAATAAAGCTATTCAATGTTTCCATTGACCACATATAGAAGACGCACCCTGTACTTGTATAAATCTTTCTGAAATTACGTCCGTAGGAGTATTACAACGGCCTATCATTTACTCATTCACTTTTCCAAACTTAAAAATCAACAGCGAATACGCTAAAGAATTAAGAAATATACATATATATAGAGTGCAATAACGTGTTTGACATTATCAAAAATTTCAAAAACATTTTAAGCATACAAAATACTTGAATGACATTTCAAAATTTTTTTGTGTCTTAATATCAAACGCAATGTCAACCAAAAATACTCACTCAATACATTAGCAATTGAATAGCTTTGAATACTAGTTTACGAATCCAAATATAAAAACAAAACATATGTATGTAGGTTTGAAAAAGTGCTCTTTCGTACACAACTTGGGATAAAAATAAACATACACATTTTGCATACACACATATATCCGTATGCATCTGTTTGTAAATAATACAGAAAGACATCACGCCCTCTTACTTTCAAGTTAACAACGTCACAAAGATATGTGAGCATATATTTTTCGAAATTTAGTATAAATTTTTAAACTGCGGATAATTTAATATAGATATAAAGCACGCCATGAGAGCTAATTTAGTTTGTATTATATTATTTTATATTATATTATTTTATTTTATTACATTATTTTACTTTAATTTATTAGATTTTGCTATATTTTTTGTTATTGTATTATATTGTATTGCATTGCATTGCACTGAATTTTGATGTAATTTATTTTATTTTTTTTTTTTATTTTATTTTATTTTATTTTATTTTACTTTATTTTATTTTATTTTATTTTATTTTATTTAATTTTATTTTATTTTATTTTATTTAGTTTTTTTATTTTATTTTAATTTTATTTACTCTATTTTATTTTCTTTAATTTAATTTTTTTCGCTTTACATTATTTTTTCTTTATTTTCAGTGCATCACTTCAACATATACAAACATCTATTTGCATTTTATATGTGCCAACAAATTCCTGCTACATACAAACCGCCAACCACAACCCAGTGAAACATTAACCTTCATATGAAGTCGTTTCAAGAGTAAAAAAAAGAATTGGATTGGAAAATTCACACCAAACTCACCGTTCCGAAAAAACCGCACACAAATAATTTCGTTGCGCTGAGCAAAATGTGTACTGAACCGAATTCAAACCAAACCGATACTGTTGCGGTTGATAATATTAAGAAGCATTTTTGATTTACTTTTCAAAAAACAAAAGCAAACAGAATATACAACAAAAATAATATGAAATAAAGAATACCAAAAACAACAGAACGCGTCTGCGACTTATGTACATGCAAATGGATGTGTGTGTGAATGTTTGCGCCCACGTGTGTGCGTTCGTTGAATAAAAAAAAATAATAATATCAACCGGCCTCCGTATGCTACCACATGAATTCATGCTTATATATTTACATATGTGTGAGTGTAAGTGAATATTTTATTCTGCCTTGCGCTTTTGCTCTCTGCATGTATTCGTGTGCGTCCTCTTACCAAAAACAAAAAAACAACATTTCAAATTATGTATGCAAACGGGCGGTGGGTGATTTTTGCTCTTGGCTTTTGAATGGACTGATACTTTAGTAGTAGCAACTAAATAAAAACACGAAGCACACGAAGAAGCTAATCAATACCGAGCACTTGTTTTTCTGCGTGATAAGAATATCATGAGGGGCTCTCTTCTCTAATTCAGTGACTATTTGAACGAATATACTTTGTCGCGTGATGTTATACATTATATATTTATATTTACAGACATATTTATGCGTATATACAATAATACATATGTATAGTATAATGAAATAAATTAAAGCGATAAGAAGTGTGCATACCGGCGCGCTTTAGCGGTACCGACGATGTCGCTAGTATGTAAATTAGCAGTCTTCGTACAATATATGCTGTGTATATACAATCATACACACGTGCATATATTTCATTGGCATTTCTTGAGTACGAAGTTCTTTTTCCTTAATTTTTTTATTTGCTTTTTTTGTTGCTTCTCTCAAATTTGGTGGTGCGATAAGGGTTGTCACCGAGTAAATATCACACCATTCAGCTTTAGTAAAAAAAAGTTTAATCAAACAATACTGGGTGGTGGAGCACTATTATATTTCGTAACGTTTGAGGTAATTTTATTTTGAAATAGCTGGCAACTCTATCGAAAAAAATTTAACACTGTGTAATTCAAAAAAAAGCATTGTAAATTTTTTTTTTTTTTTTTTTTTTTTTTTATTTTACTTTTGCATATTCACAATGTATTTAGGTATGTACATATGTACTAGAGCTCAAAATTTTGTTCGAACATTTTCGAGCTACCCGAGCATTGGAGCAACGAGTACTCGTACACTCGTTCATTGCTCATTGCTCGAAAAATTTGTATAAAAATCTGTACTTTTTCCCAGAACTTTCTTCTATAATTTTAATTTTATTTATGCAAAGTATAAAGCTCCTTGCAATACTAAAGAATGTTTGACAAATACTAAAAATTTGAATTCAAAAAATTTCAAACCATCATTTGAGCAGTTGCGTAAGGAACGAGTATCGAGCTGCTCACAGTGCTCGACACCCGGTTATCTAGAGCTCTCATATGTAACTATGTATGCCTAAGTGAAACATTCAGAATGTAACTTTTAGAAATGAAATTCAGTCAACTTAGCGCTTAGGAACGTAAGTCTGTTACGTATACGCAGTGTTGCGCTTGGTAACACAAAATTTAAATTCCTTCAACTATTTTCGAAACCATAACATGGCAGAATGATGAAAATAATATATTAATAATTTGACAAGCAAGATATCACTCCACATATCCATATATTTTTTTATCAATTATTAGATAATTTAATAAATTTATAAATAAAGTAAGTCATACCAGTTAAAGGTAAACTTACTATGTGATAAAAAATGGCATTTTTCAATGCCGCTAGATAATAATTTATTTATATTTTATTATTTATCAAAAAGCATAAGTTCCAATTTATTTTCACGCTTCAATTGCTTTTGTGTCCATTATAAATTAAAATAAGTTTTCGTCTACATTGTGATATCAGTCAATTTTTTTTTAAACACTCATATATCATCTAAGTTTTTTATTATGAATTTGTGAGTATATCAAGCAGTTAAAGCTTACTTAGAATTCTAACATAGACACTTAGCAATATTTCATTGAAATATGATAATGGGAGGGAGAGTTAGATAAACATTTATCCTTCTCCTTGCATAGGCATTATTACAAAAAATATGTGATTGCGGTTTTTGTTTATTTTACTGCATTTTATTTACTTCATTCTATTTTATATAGACAGTATTTATTTTATTATAATTTATTTATTTTATTATAATTTCCTTATTATAATTTTCCTCATTATTCATTCATTAATCATTTAAATTTGATTTTATAGTTTTTTTTTTTTGATGTAATGCAAGATAATGTCTTTAATTTAAATTTTTTTTTTATATATTATTTTATTCCATATATTTATTTTTTATTATTTTTTATTTCAATTTATATTTTTTGTTTTATTTATTTTATGCTTTTATTATCTTTTTATTTTAATTTAATTTATTTAATTTTTTATTTTCTTAAGTTATATTATTTCTTTTACTTTACTTTATTTTGAGCTTTTTGTTAATTTCTTATTCTCATTTATTTTATTTCATAGCATTTTATTTTATTTTATTTTACTTCTTTTAATTTATTTATAGTTTTTTATTTTATTTTAAATGATTTATAACTTTTATTTTTTTATTTTAATTTAATTATATAATTTTACATTACAATATATTGGGTTGCCCAAAAAGTAATTGCGGATTTTTCATATAGTCGGCGTTGACAAATNTATTTTATTTTATTTTATTTTATTTTATTTTATTTTATTTTATTTTATTTTATTTTATTTTATTTTATTTTATTTTATTTTATTTTATTTTGTTTTATATTATCTTATTATTTATTTGAATTTATTTAATTTTACTTTCTTTTATTTTATGCTTCCTTTTATATCATTTTATTTTTATTTATTATATATTATTTTCTTTTCCTTTTTATCGTCTTGTATCAAATTAAGATTATTTTTTTTAATTTTTTTTACACAATTTTACTTATTTAATTTGTTTTAATCTATTTAATTTTATTTTATTTTATTTTCATTTACTTAATATTTTAGTTTAGTTCATTTTTATTCTAGTTGCTTGTTTTATTTCATTTAATTCTTTAAGTTATTTTTCATTTCATATAAGCAAATTTTTTTTTAAATTTTTATGTTTAAATTTTTCAAAATTAATTCTTGCATATAATACAGTGCACGCTAATTAGTACAAGCACTCAATGTATTTACTTACACTGTACACAATGTAGACCACGGACCTCGGTATTACCCACTTGCACTTGTTCACGCTTATAATTTATTTTACTTTCGCTTTCTGCAAAACACACGTTCAACGGCACTCTTTGTATGTTCGGTCGTTCTTGCGTCGGATTCAAAAATTCAATCGCATAAACACTAATGTTTTTATGCCTCAAAAAACACGCTTAGTAGCGAAAATACATTTTCAAATGGATTTGGCGCGAAAATCACTGAAATTTCACTCAGCTGACGTCTGTCTGTTGACTGTGTGTCTGCGCGAGTCCACAATTATCGCACGACGCCGTCTAGCTGTTACACTTTACTTTACTGCGTGTATTCGTACTGTATATTAAATTTTTGATAGCTTGCCATATACTAGTCCCGCCGCAGTAATATGGGTTTATAAATATACATTAAATTAAAAAAAAATCGTAAATGAGTACTAGAAAGACTGGCTCTCTTTAGCCCTCTTACATTTGTTGTAGTTTAAATTTTTTTACGTTATTTTTCATAAAAGTTTCATTCTTTTCTTCATAACAGTTTTGAGCCCCGGTATATGGCAAAAAAAAACGGAAATAGGGATAAAAAAAGTTAATAACAGAAACTTGTTTCCACTTTTTCGGTGATTCCCACTCACTGTAATATTCTTGTATTAATTATTTACGGTTTAATATTTATTTACGTATATAATCAATTTAATCACATATATATGTATTAGGTTTATTATCTGCTGTTTATGCGAATAACTCTTGGTGATCTGTTGCACTGCGTTCAGTCGTTTGCTTTGTATTGACTAAAGCAATCTTCAATAAGTTGTTTATCACCACATCACAGCGGAGCACAACACAGCCATAACACAAAAGTACTCAATGACTCTCAACAGCTGCAAGCTGCAACAATTGCTGTTTACATCGCTTTCATTGAAAAGTGGTGTTTTTAACTAGAAGTATTTGAAATAGCAACCATTTAGTGAACCGCAAATGTGTGAAGTAATGAGTGGTTTCGTGCGCTCTAGTGGGATTGTGAACTAGTTATGTACTAGTTTCATAATAACCATGCCATGTAGTAAATAAAGGGTTTTTAAATAAGTTTTGTTATTTTGAATAATCTACTATTGCAGTAGGTGTCACTTTTGAAGCTAGGATTTTCTGACATTTGACAAGTAAAAACTACGCCATTAATAAAAACGGAACGACATACGCAACAACAGCGCTTTGAAATTATAAAAATTTACTATAAAAATTTCATCGAAAAATCATCTTGACTAATAAGGCCCATTTTTCTCTCGTTGTATACGTAAATAAGCAAAACTGTTGCCCAATATTTATTTCCTCTACATCCTCCAGCGGAGTCATTCGATCTTACTTTTACGAAAATTATGAAAATATTTAATTGCACTTAACATAAGTTAATTGTTTTACTCTGTTTTTATTTATTTTACTAGATTTTATTTAGTTTGTAGTTTTATTATAATTTACTTTAATTGATTTAATTTTTTTCATTTTATTTAGATTTTTGTATAATTTTATTAATTTTTTTAATTTTACTCTAGCTCATTTAAAATTTATTAACAAATCTATTTCTTTTTCATTTTCTATACTTGTTTTATTTTATTTCAATTTATTTAATTTTATTTTGTGCTATCTTACTGTACAGTTCAGTTCACTTTAAGCTTCTTTAATTTATTTTACATTATTAATTTTTTTTTATTCTGTTTTATTTTTTTTTAAATTTATTTTAATTTATTTATTCTATTCTGTTTTCAATTATTTCACCTTTTTCTAACTGGTTTTATTTTATAGGTTTTTTACCTCATTTGGTTTTATTTTATTTTGTTTTATTTGCTTATATTCTATTTTATGTCATTTAATTTTTTTACTATTACTATATTGTTCAAAAGAAGTTAATTTTACTACTGGGTACTACTTTCAATATGCCTGTATCCAAGCCGAAGTGTTTACAAAAAAAGTACTAAGTTATTATCTAACTGTAATAAATATACATATATTTACATATATGTATATGCACATATTTTTATTCTTCCATCAATAAAGTTAGTATCTAAGTTGCAGAGGCTTGTCATATAATGTTGTATTTTCGAAAAAATTAATATATTTAATCGTTTTGTAACTAGAAACTCCGAGAGCTGGCGCCCGCTGTTAAAATACCAATCTAACATTGAAAATGTATATATTTTAACAGTGCGCTGTTAAAAAGCACACTTGTCACATCGTGCTTGTGCCGTGCTTTCAGTATAAATATTTTTATCCATCAACAGGTTTCCTATGCAAATATTTTATACCCAACTCTATTGTGCGTCTTGGGTATATTAGTTTAGCTTATCGTGAATGAAGCTCGAGGAACTTCAGTCTAATTAATTACATATATTTCTTAAGGAAAGCGTACATAATATGGATTATTTAAAACATTATAACAAAACTGAGCAGTGATTTGGCAATATTTCTTCTCCAATTTATTTTCAACGCTATTATTGTGTTATAAAGATATAAAGTTAAGAGGAGAGGAGAGTAACATGGCGATGGCAAAAAGAGAGGCCTGTGAAAATTGCCTCTCGGAGATTTTTGCCAATAGGGACGCAGCCTTCTACGAGAGGGGTATAATGAAGTTGGCATTTCGGGGCAACAAACTTACAAACATTACGGCGCATATTTGACAAATGTACATACAGTTTATATTTTTAAAAATCAATAAAAAAAAACCGAACGAACTTTTTACTTGGCCTAATTTTTACATAATATAATAACACAATATTTTAGTTTTTGAAAGAAACCAAAAAAGCAGACAAAGGGCTTCGGAATACTTGAGAGAAAATAAATTAAATATGATCAAAGAAGGAAATAGTGCGATTTCTAACAATTTTTTTTTTATAATTTTCTGCGGAATTTGGGAAAATGTTAGTAATGCTTTTTCCTTAATAAATTAACTTGGAGAGCAACTGGTTGTGGTATTCGTCATGTTCTCATATCATGGCAGAGTTTTTTTCTCGTCTGACTCATATTAAAAGCGGCAAATTCAGTAAACATGTTGTTTGAGAGTACATAGAGATGCGATGAAGCTTCTCAATAATCATATGATGTACGAGTATAAGGAAGTATCAAAATAAGTGTGTTTAACTTCGTTATCCGCTTACAAAAGTACATATTGCACATAAATAGTGCTACTACAACTAGTATTAACAAATATTTACTCTTATTCACCGAATTGATTAACTAATTGCATACAAACACTTTTATAATAAAACAACCCACTGTTCAACGATCACACCTGTTCAACTAACATAATAAACAAACAAAAGCGCAGCATGTCTGTTGTCTAGCCTAGTAAGTGAGCTTTTGAAGTTTAACTCTGTATATCATATAGCAACATGCTGAACTTGAAGGGTAGTTAGGTACTAGTCCTATTTTATTATTTTAAAGGTGAAAAAATGTCTTAGAAAATCGAGTCAAATGTATTTGCTTCAAATATATAAAAATAAATTAGTAAACCTAATTAAACAAAAAAAAAATAAAATAAAAAAGGGGAAGTAAAATGAAAATAAAGAAAAGGCAAATCAAATCAGACAAATTAAAATAAAATAATATTACTAAAATGTACTTAAGAAATTTAGAGAAACAAAACATAGTATATTAATACCGAATAAGCTAAAATATAAAAATTTATATAAAGAATCAATAGAGGTTAAATGAAATTAATTAAACAAATCAAAGTAAATTAAAACAAAAATTTGATTATGAAGAAAAAATTAATAAACCTAAAATAATTTCAAATAAAATAAATCAAAATAACAAATTAAAATAAAATGAAATAAAATACAAGTAAAATATATGTCATTAAACAAAAATATTAAAAACAACAATAATTCAAAAATAATTCAATAGAACTAAAATATAATATATTAAAAACCTTAATTTTAAAAAAAGGAGGAAAAAATTAAATAAAATAAAGTACCAACAAAGGTAAACAAAATAAAGCTAAAAAAATATGTGAAATTAAAAATTAATAAAATAAGGAAAAATATTACAAATAAAATAAAATACAATAATATAAAAAATATAAAACAAATAAAGCATACTAAATCAAAAAAAAAATAATAAAACTTACATAAAATAAATTAATTTAAATAAATTACAATTAAAATAAAATCACACTATTAGTAAAAAATAAAGTAAAATACAGGAAAGAAAATTAAATAAAATACACTGAAGTGGAGTTACTAAAATAAAATAATATTAAAATGAAAATAAAAACCATATTAAAGTTGAATAAAAACAAATTAAAAGAAATAAAAATATATTCACATGTAAAAGATTTAATAAACAATAAAATTTGTAAAAAATTAAATAATATATAATTCATTGAAGTAAAATAAAGCGAAAAAACTAAAAATTATTAAAAATATTTTAAAAATAAAATAAAAATAAAATAAGATATGTTAAAACAAGTAAAAAATTCAAAATGAGATTAATAAAAAAGTAAAACAAAGTACAATATAGTAACTAACTAAACTAAAAAATTAAACTGAAGAATCTAAAATAGTAAATAAATAAAATAAAAATTAAATATAGTTTAAAAATAATAAAATCAAACTCAAACAAACTTAATTAAAATAAAGTAAAATAAAAAAATTACTTACAACAAATTAAAAAAAAACTAAAATAAAATAAAATTAAATTAAATAAAATTAAATTAAATTAAATAGAATACAACAAAATAATATAAAATAAAATAGTAATATAAATTAAAATAAAATAAAATAAAAAATAATATGATAAAACAAAATAAAGCAAAGTTAAAGATTGTACCATAAAACCAAATAAAATAATTTAAATTAAACAAAATAAAATCAAATCAAATCAAATAAAATAAAATAAATTAAAATCAAATAAAATAAATTAGGATAAGGTAAAATGAAATTAAACAATTTTAAATAAATTTAAATAAATTTAAAAATAAATTAAAAAATAAAAACCTAAATAAAGAATGAAATGAATCAATAAAAAAATAGTAAAAAAAGAAATAAGAAAATGAAGTGAAATAAAATAAAAAAAAATTAAAATAAAATAAAATGCAATGAAATTATTTAGAAAATTTAAAATCAAAATTTATCAAGTAAATAAAAATGAAATAAAACAAAGCAAATAAAACCAAATATATTTGAAAAAAAATTTAAGTGAAATAAAAAAATTACATGAAATGAAAAACTATGGAACTAACTAAACTAACATGAAATAAAATTCAATTAAATGAAATTCAATGAAATTAAGTTGAATTGGATTTAGCCAATATGCTCGTTGGGATTATAGTTTCAAAGTCACATGACCTGCCTCATTGCATAAAACCTAGCAATTATAAAAATATCTGAGCAAAACAAAGAACTAGACAAAAAACAAGTCCTATTCCAAATTAATATTATTATATTTGTTTTTATTTTTTATTTATTTATTTTTTTTTTCGTTTGCTTCGTCTATATGTACATATAACGATATGTTGAGGCATATATAAAATATATTTTTTGATTCATTAATCGCTTGCCGGCAGATGTGTCTGCAAATGAGGAATATATAAAAAACAAAAACAAAAACAAATTATGCAAATCACAACATGAAGCAAGAAGCCGGTTTTGTGATAATAAATGAAGAGCTGGCTACTTCACCTAAATACGCATATATTTATGTATATAAAAGTGTATTATAATTTGTATTTTATATAATAATTTTAGTAATGCTGAATATTTAAAAACATTTATATATAAATACATGCA